GAGTCTTTATTATATGTTGTTAATCATCCTGTTGTTAGAGATGTGTTTATATTCTACCCATCTGTAATCTTCTTGTTTTCAATAAGCCCATCTCTGTATATCTGTCATTGCTCACAAGCAAAACCTATTGCAGCTATCTTTACTCATCTTGACTCACACTTTTTGCCTCGCTGTCTCATTAATTACTTGTCAGGTACTCTGGGAGCATAGCTTTCCCTACAGTTACATCTTATTTTAAGTTTGATTACTGAATAGATCTAAGTCAGAAGGAGGATCATTTAAAATACATTAACTAATGACTTATTTAAAATTGAAATACCTATATCGTTCTTTCAAGTAAATTCATTCAAAGCTAGGGAAATTTATTCCAGTATTCCGTAATCAATAAATCAAAAGTTATGACACAATAATAAAAGAAATCTTTGGCTGTGGCAGGACTTGAATAAGCACAGCCAATCATGTAATTCTGTCTGAAATAATGATTTTTTCCATTGAATACTTTAAAAATCTAGCTGTCTCTTGTTAGTTTCTCCAATGTTGTCTACCCAAGCTTTAATTTTTCAGTGGAGTGAAGGGGAAACAAAACTCACATAAATAAATACCCACAGAAACAAACTCTTCATTAAGCAGACACAGAGCAACTGGCGTTATATACCACTGCGCATGAATTTATAAACACACATTATAAAATTAATAACCATAATTAATTGATAATGCATTCATTTTCATCATATTTCTCTACTGGCTGGTGGTCAGTGGTGTCTCATTGAGGAAAAGAATCATGAGGGAATAATATAAAGAAGATAGGGTGGGATTGATTTTGAGGTGATGAAGTATTTGTCACATTATTTGTTGAGCACTGAATATATGCAGGGCATCTGTTTGCATTTGGACCCGGTGTGATGTTCCTAAGGGGAGTAAGAACTAACCATTTATTTTGTTTTGGATGGGAAGCGTCTTGTGTTCCCCTCTAATGAATATTTATGGTCTCAGGTTGTGTATGAGTAATGCATAACGACAAAAATGCCTGTAATTCATCATACTTATTATAAGACCAAAAAAAAAGAAACACAGGATACTTGGTGCAACAAACTGCCCTGAAGGAAAGGTAAACACACTCTTTGAATATCTCTCTTTCCATGTCACTCTACTCTATTTTTTCATCAGAGAGCTGCTAGACTGCTGGAACATGCAGACGATATACATCACTTAATGTGCACCCTCTCTTCCAAAAAATGTCTTCTCCTTGTATTCAGAAAGAAAATGTAATATCATGCAAGTCCGCACTGTAAAAAACCATGCCATCCTCAGACATAACTTTTTTTAGTTACATTTTTGATGGTGAGCCTTGTGATGTGGTTCCCTTCTCTGTTGATGAAGTTCACAGAGCTCTTCTTCTGCTGGACACTAAAAAACCTGCAAGTTCTGATAATCTGGAAGAATGTGTTTTAAAAGTTGCAGCTGATTATATTGCTAAACCCTTAACAGGTATCTTTAACCTCAAAAATGTGGCCGTGACCCTACTTCACTTAACAAATACAGGACTATTTCCAATTTAAGTGTCTTATCTAAGGTCCTTGAAGAATTGGTAAATAATCAATTGAAGGAGTTCCTGAGTGCTAATAATGTTTTCTCAGTGCACCTGTCTACCGTCACGGCTTCCTTTAAGGTTGTTGACGCCATGACTGACACTGGATTGTAAAAAGGTTTGTGCTGCTTTTTTTTATCAGTGTCTCAAAGGCCTTCAAGACAGCTGACCACTCTTATATGAAGCAACGGCTGCTCACTATTTGGTTGTCTGAGTAGTCTGTTGGCTGGTTTGAAAATTACCTCCCTGAAAGGACACAGTAAGTTTGATGGCCGCCCTCCCACTCCTTCTCCTCCTCCAGAGGCCCCTACTTTATCCCCAGTCCTGTCTGCTCACCAGTGAGCCATTTTTGCCATCTCTGAACGTTGCTTGGCAGATCTGTGAACCTGTGAATGCCTTCTTCTCCAATGCCCTCTCCTGTTTCAGCAGCAACCGGCCACCTACTCCTTAGATAAGTCCTGTATAGCTTTTTATTTTGAATTTACTTTCTGGCCGAGCTTCTCGGTGGGCAACAGCATGATGGGGAAGGGGATAACCTATACATAATTTCTACTCAACTTTCATGGCCGACTTTTGACCAGCTTGTATGCGGTGGAATTTAGGATTTTGGCAACAGAGAGTGGGTGATGGGATGAAGTCGCTTTGCAAGGAAGGCTTGCTGATCATGTTAAAGATGTAATTGGAGGGGTCCTGATGAGCCATACCTCCACCATACCACCAGTGCCACATGCAGTTACTTACTTGCCACAATAATTCTCTCCCTCAGCTCAAGTGGATTTTTGATTCCACCTTTGTCACCCAAGCTGGGATTCCCAAGGTTCTGCCTGCTCCTATGGATGCAAATGCTCTGGATAGAAAACTCTTTGCCTGCATTACCCACATCACTGCTCCCGTGAATCTCCCACCGGCCTTCTGGTCTATCTGAAGGTAACACAACAAAATTGACAGTTGTTGACGACTTTTCCATGTGTCTTTTCTTCCTCTCCCTAAAATGCCCTTAGCTGGGAGGACTGGGAGGGTTATGGTCCTGCGCTTGTGGATTCCTCTGTCACCTCTTCTCGTGTTTGTGTGTGTGTGTGTGTGTGGCTTACCTCTCCTGGCACATCGCCACACCTGCCTACAATCAGCTCATCAACTCTCAGTTAAGTACCCCAGTTCTCGTGCAAATCATGGGCCAGATTGTTCTATCTAATTCAGTGGTACAGTGTGACTCTCGGCCAAAGATGTTTCTAGTGTGCTTTTGTGGTTTATTTCTCGCCATGCCCTTGGCTAACTGGGTTTTTGTCCTGTGCCTCAGGATTCCAGTGCCAGCGTCTCCGCCCAGCCATCTTCCCACACGTCGCCTCAGCTAAGTCTCCAGCTCTTCTCCCCACTCATCAGCCTGCCTGCCTCCTGTCTTCATCAGCCCTGCTAACCTCCTCCCATCCATCCATTTATTAATGCTTAATTTACACTTCCGTGTTTTGGACCAAACAGGTTCATTCATTCATCTCAAATCAGCTGATGCATAGCTTGCACAAAAATATGTAACCAACAATGTATATTTTTTTATTTATTCAAAATGAAACTAATATGAGTACAAAACAATGGTAGAAGGAAATTCAGTTTGATGGTTTATTACACATCACTGTGGTTTATTGAGAGGTCATTATGTCATCAGTAAATTGATATGTGCTTACAAGGTAACAAGGTATTGTATTGTTTTTATGGAAACCTCTGTTGTGTAATTAAAACATTGAAACCTGCAATATTGATAGTACCATTAGTGGTCTGAAGAAGACCTAAAGCAACTTTCTGTGATCATGAAAAATGACTCAATAGATTTTTCTAATTGTGTCATGTTTGGTTCTCCAGTCAGTGCCACTGACCAGGACAGTGCTGTAGATCTGGAGTTGGTCCCTGGGCGCAGTATAGTGGCTGCCCCTGCTCCCTTGAGCGATGGTTTAAATGCAGAGAATGAATTTCACTACATGTATTTGTGACAATAAAGTACCTTTCCTTTTCCTTTTTGCCAACCAACAATGACTGGTTTGCCAGAGCTGAAAAAGGAGCAATGTAGCAACAGTGCCTATATGTGATAAGTACGTGTTCACAATGTTGTGTAATTACTTACACTGTCAGAAAGGGGAGACAAAAGTTCCGCACTGCAGATTTGACACACATTGTTACTGACATACAGTATGTATCTGTTTCAGTTGTTAGAAGCCTATTTCTCCCTTTCAGCCCCCTAACCTTTCATCTGTTCAAATATCCAATTGCAATTCCAATTGCTCATTAGAAAACATCTCGGGTTACGTATGTAACCCTTGTTCCCCGAGAAGGGGAACGAGACTATGGGAACGCCTCTGGGCGTGGCAGGGCTGAAATCATGAATGAAACTACTCCAATCCTATTGGCATTGCTAGAAAGGTAGCATGTGATGGCGTAACTGGAGGCGTATAGAAGCACGCCAGCATACCGGAAACGTCAGCTCTTTGCTATGAAGCAAGGCACTCCAGGCGGGGTGAGATGTGGCGGACGCAGTGTCTCGTTCCCCTTCTCGGGGAACAAGGGTTACATAAGTAACCCGAGACGTTCCCCTTCCAGGGAACTCAAACTGCGTCGGTGATGACACTATGGGAACGAGATACCCACTAGGCCACGGCAAAACCCCCGCCTGCCCCAAGCGTGCAGTAACCCGTAGGCAAGACTAAGACGAGAGCACCCGGGTGCCGGGTGCAGAAGGAAGGTCCAGACTGTAAAACCGGATGAAAGTGTGAGGAGTGGCCCAGCCAGCTGCCTCACACAAATCCTGGAGTGAAGCCCCTGAGAGTAGGGCCCTAGAGGCCGCCATGCCTCTAGTAGTCACATGAGGTGGGGGATGAAACACCTGCAGCACCGTGGACCCTGCCAAACTGGACGGAACCTTAGGGACATAGCCCAGACAGGGGTGCAGGATGGCTCTGACCCTCCCTGGGGCAAACTCCAGGCATTGAGGAGAAACCGAAAGTGCATGGAGATCCCCCACCCTCCTCAGAGAGGTGATAGCGAGAAGACAGGCCATCTTAAGGGTCAGGTGCTTGGCCTCAGCCGACTACAGGGGTTCGAAGGGGGCCTCAGCCACCGCTTCGAGAACCACTGCCAGGTCCCAAGTGGGAACCTTGGAACGCTGTCCCGACGCCCTCGGAGATATCGTGCTGCGATCCCCATGACCACAGCCGCCGCGACGCCTCAGCTACCGAGGGGCCTGAGCCACGGGGAGGGCGTATCCGACCGTCTTCCGAAAAGAGAGCCACACGAGACGGCAGCACCCTCAGGGACAGGGCCTCGCAATGGCCGCAGGCAGCCCTCTCGAGAGCTGTCTGGGCGTGCGACATCCCCCGACAGGAAACACACATCTCATGAGTATCCCCAGCTGTGATGTAGCGTGGGCATGGAAAAACACGTTGTCGGAACTGATTACCAGACATGGTCTCTTCTGCTTCGTCAGGACTTCCAAGTAAGACAACAATTTTCTTGGTAGTGGAGTTTTCAAACATACTCAGAGTGCCTGCTGAATAGAAAAAAGCTGATGTGTCCTGTGTGCCGGCGTGCTTATATACGCCTCCAGTTACGCCATCAGACACTACCGTTCTAGCAACGGCAATAGGATTGGAGTAGTTTCATTCATGATTCAGCCCTGCCACCCCCAGAGGCGTTCCCATAGTGTCGTCACCAACGCAGTTCGAGTTCCCTCGAAGGGGAACCTTTGGTTCTGTGTTTCTGACGTATCTCGCAACCTGACCAAGTATGTCTGTATGTGCTGGTGTGTGAATTTGCATGCAAGCACACATGAATGAGGATGGGTGGGTATAGTCAAAAGTCTGTGTGATTGGTAAAGATGGTCTTTCGTGACACCCAGTCATGTTATTCTGTACAAACGGTCAAACATGAGGCTTACACTGAACAAATGTTACTAGCATGTAATGGTGGTTTTTGTCCTATCAAGAAAACTCTGCACTGAATAAAAATATCACATTGTATCATCGTCTCAAGCCTTAATTTATGTAAGAAATAGTTTTCACTTTTCACTTTCTTTGAGGTTTGAAATATTTAACATTAAAAATGTTGACAGCAGTTGTTGAGGAGAGGTTATGTTTCAGTTCACAGATTCCTAATTTGCACATGCTTAATATGGCTGTTACTGAGGTTTGAAAAAGCTGCTCAGAAGCACAGGTGCAACATTTGTTGTGGTAAGGTCTGAGTCACACCACTATGACAGCAAACAGCATCCTCAAGCTACAGATAACATGCATTAAAATGGTGTCTTGCTGTAGGTAAAGCTCATTAGAAATCTAGTGCCTTCATGTACAGTCAATCAAAGTGATGGACTGCTAACGTCCTCCACCCCTGTTGTGATTGATTTACACTTATTATTTTAAAGGACATTTTTGATTATATTAGAGAAGATTACAGGATGCAACAAGGGTCCAGAGCTTGACAAGAGATATGCATCATCATCTGCACCAAGAGGAAAAGTTACTGTCTTGGTTTAATGCAAACATGATCAGTCTTTGAGTTATTAATGTAGTTACTAAACCACTTGCAACTTTAGCGTGAAGAGATACACATTCACACCTTATAACACCAAATACATAATTTGCTATAAATTCACATTTATTAACACACAAACATCAACATAATATGCCCATGCCTTTCACTTTGTCATTCCTAACCAGTGCAAAAAGTGGTCAAAACTGATTTTATTACTATGATTATTGTTAGTAGTAGTATACAGTAGAACAAGTAAGGCTATGTGTTGCTAGGCCCTTGATCAATAAATATTAATCAAACATAGTGAACTTGCGGAATCGCATCCATCATGATTTTTATGTCATAGCTATTAAAGAGAAGTGAAACCAAAAAATCTGGGGTCCGAAGGAACAGTTGCCTTTAGTGAGAGGAAGCAAAACATAAACACCATCCTTCAGGAGGTGGAGAGGGAGGGAGTGGGGGATAAAAGAGAGTGGGAGAGAGAGAGAGACTTCAGTGATCGCATTATGTGATTGCCTTCGGGACAACAGTCTGGGACGCGGCGGACTTGCTTAATTTATCTCCTGCACAGCTGGATTTGGTTGCAGAATTTTACAGTGAAAACACAACATTTCTCTTCCTAGGTGAGGACTACATTTCTTCTTTTCCTTTATGCTCTCATCATGCAGCCTTTGCCTTGGATTTTGATTAACATTTTGTGACCAGTGCACAGCCTTTTCCAGTGTTTGCATTTTCTTTGTGAATGATTATTGGGAATCGTTCATTGTAATTGTTTATCATTGCATGATAATATGGCAGGTAGTCGGCAGGGATTAAGTAAGCTTAGTAAATGCCTGGCAGAGTGATGGTAGTGACGGAATGAAAAGGACAAAGACACAAACAAATGTAAAGATTTTTACAAGTGTAGGCTATGGACATCAATATAAAAGGCTATGTTCATTGCAGTGAAACCATGCTGTGCTGTGCTGTGCTGTGCTAAGGGTCACATACATGGGCACAGCTCTGTATTCTGTAATGATTAAAGAATGATTGAAGGTGAGCTGAAGAAGATCAAACATGTACGTATCGATATGTAAATTTATTTTTAGGTGAAGGAGGAGTCAGTGTGATGGTGAATTTAATGTTGAGTAACACAGTGAATTCCTGACCTCTGACCTCCATGTGGAGTTATGGGAAGCAAGAAAAAAATGATAATGATAATCATCAGGTATTGTCGGGTATTACCGTGAAGGTATTTCACTGTGGGATCATGAAATTACCATTCTAATTAAATTTGACGTTTTAAGGTTATTAATAATGAAAAAAGTAGCTACAATTTCAAACTTGCTGTATAGGTATGTACTTAATGAAAAAAGAAAGAACAAAGAGAGAACAATAAAAGAATCATTACTCAACAAGCCTGTCAGAGCATCATTGTAAAGTGGGTAATTACTGAGTTATACTAGTGGTGTGAATTATTACATGCAGCCCTGGTGGTGGTGAAACACAAGTATGGCAGGTATCTGGGAAAGCTGGTTACAACACAAACACACACACACAATCTGCTAGCATTGTTATATAAACAACCTGTGGGCGACAGTATTACCCAAGCTAACTGGCTAGTGTGCATGTCTGTGTGCGTGTGTGTATGTATCTATGTATTGTACCACAGCCAGGCCCAACTGTGCATGTGTCTGTCAGTGAGGTGAACAACAATAGCTCCAGCTGACAGTGTGCAGAAAAAAAGGACAAGAGGCTAAACAGACTCTCAGGCTCTGCAGGTCTGAAACACTGTCTGCTTTTCAGTGGGTATTTGTTTTTGCATGCGTGCAAGTTTCCTGCATCCAGGTCCCTTTAATGAAAGTATCAGCAGCAAAATCACAAAACAATGGGTTTCTAAGATTCAACAGAAGAGCAGAATTCGCCCTCACCAGCAAAAATACTGTGATGCCTGAATACACAGTACTGTAATGCTAAAAGCACAGATGAGAAGGGGCATAGCACAAAATTCTGGACCCTCTATGGGCCCCTCCCCACATCCACAGCTATTTATTATATCTTTGTGGGTTCATGAGGGCCCCTGCAGATGAGTGACAAATTAAAGGAAAAACTTATTTAAAGTGGGGAAACGAATACAGAACAACAAAGCCTAACAGAACATTTGTTTACTTAAATTTTGTTCCTTTTAGTCAGGATCCTCTGTTGTATAGAGCACTTAAGTGTTTCTAGTTCGCCCCCGCCTTTCTGTCAAACAAGGCCTCATCCATGAAATTATAATGGAGCAAAACTTTATACTTGGAGCTCGGAATTGTTATCATGCAACATTAATATCTACTGTATGTGATATCGCACAAAACCTGAATTTCTATGCCGACAGTGGGGTGGAAAGGAAACATTTTAACATTTTGGTAAACTAGGGGAGGGGATGTGGTTCTTCCTGACTTCTTATTAGGAAAGGTCATTGTGTAGTTTGTGATTGCCTTTCATTCACACTCTGGGAGCAGCAGTTCTGTTTCCTTTGATTTCATGTTGGTTAAGTTGCCCTTCTCTTAAACTGTGGTGGCTATTGCTGCTCACCTGTTGCTCTTGTCTTGCTTCAAACAAACCACAGTTGCTGCTGCTGGACATGATACAAATTTGACATGGGACAGATATTTCTTTTATGGAAATGCCACTACTGTACTAATGCCACGTAAATGATTTTTCCCTGTCATCACAATCTGGCTGTGCCATCTAGCCCATGTTCACTGGCTTCTAAAATGTCATGCAGCCCACACTGTTCTCTGTCAGTCAAGTGAAGATAATTTGATCAGTTTAATTGTCATCATCAAATCACTGAAAATTTGTTTAACTTGTGCTGCCCTTTCAAAAACGCATATTTCCCCTTCTATGTTTTACGTTGATGGCTAAAGGGGAGTTGTCTCATTTAAGAGGAAATAGTGAACTTTGTTAAACATGGAAAAAGGCTCACTCTAACGGGAAAGGGCTTATTATCTCCAAGAGTCAGTTTAGAAAGACTGGGGTCCAGTGTAATTTATCATTTTGTGACAAATGTGTGTGAGTCTGTTTAATTTTTTTCTAGAGACAGAAATAAAAAGACCAACAAAAAATCACAAGGGATGGAAGAAGAGTTGATTTTAATAATAAAATAAATCAGAAAATAATTAGGATTATTGTATTAGTATAGTATTGTCATTGAGGTGAAACTTGTAACAGAGACATGGATATAGTGTAGAACAAATTCAGTCACTGCCTGCTGCTGCTCCTCCAAATATATAATGAAATATTATATACATTTTCAGATCCCTCTTTCCCTCCATATGACTCTAATGACTCAACACTGACTGCATATATAATGAACATTTTCTGATAATAATATACTGTGCAGCTGGTGCATATTTGCAAGTCATGTCGGTGTTTATTTAATTCAGAGGAACTGAACCTCAGATAATACTGTCATTACTGTGTGCTTCATTTAGTGCAGCTTAAAAATCTTTTGTTATGTAATATTAGATATGATTTTTGATTTCTGTCAGTTCTTGAACTCCATCTTAATTTTTTATATAGCTGTGTGGATCTGGAAATTTTTAATACACAAATGTTTGGTTTTAGTCTCCAGTCTGGTGGAGAATAGTTTTACACAGTAAGAGATAGCTCTTAAAGTGAATATTTAAAATGTAATATCATATAATTGCACTGTTGTGTTTCTGAAATGAAACCCAAAGCTGTGAAGAACACAAACTGTACAGTAGGACACATTACATGACTTGGACATTAGACAGTGGCAGCGGCTAAGTGATATTGGTTTTCCAAGAATGATCCCATTATTAGTATTATATTAAAGCAGTTAAAGAGAAACTCCACCTAATTTACACTGTTTACTGATCTTGTGGAGTACTATGCATATGTGAAAAAATTTGTTAAGCTTTTGCGGCTCCAGAGGAAGCTGCCTGAAGTCAAATAAATAAAATTGTCTCATGTGATGTCATTTGAAGCAGCATCAGCTGGGGCTGAAGACTACAAATTTGATAATGAAAAAAAGCAGTTGGAGCCACTTTAGCCTCTACTGCTTAAATAACACACCTGAACAGTAATGTAGGCACCAGGTTGTGGAAAAAAAAGATGGTGTCTCTAGCTCTGCTACACCCATTTAAAGTCTTTTTTTACTGTCTGACAATGTTTTATGAGTGCAATGCTACATTGGTGGAGTTTTTAACTTTTAAGTTGATATGTGGGCTGTTTTTCCCACAGAATGCTAATTCACATCAACACAAATATTATTTCACTAAGTATCTGAAACAACATCTACACTACTACAAAACACAAAAACTGCTCTATGCCCTTTTTTGAAACCCATATTTGACCAGGACCTGTCTTTGCAGAAATGGAGCATTTTCATATATTTTCTATTGTCACATCAGAGAATCAGAATCAGGAATCCACATACAAGGAAGTTTCTGTGGTATATTGGCACATGACAATACACACAATAAGTAGAAAATATATTTAAAAAAAGACAAGTGTGTGATAAGTGTGGTAAGTCAAGAAGTATAAATAGAAATACAGAAAATTCCTTTAACAATTTGCACAATGACTGTTATTGAAATGAAGACTTTAAATAACAGTTTTTGCAGGGATGTGCAATATATTTACCAGGGAATGTGCAGAGTTCACAGTATGTGTATTGTGCACATACTATAGCATGGGGTTAGGGGAGTATGGGATGAGAACTGTTTTGTGGTGTGAGGTTTTAGTCCTGACGGTCCGCAGCCTCCTGCCAGTGGGAAGTGTCTGAAACAGTTTGTGTCCAGTGTGGGAGGGTTCAGCCACAATCTTTCCTGTACGCCTCAGGGTCCTGGAGGGATGCCAGAGAAGCATTTTAGTGGCCTTAGTATGGTCCCAAGCCCAAGTGCCTCTTTGACGAACCCATGTACAATTGTGGTCTTAGCGTAGTGAAAAAATTAAACCCAACCCCGTTCATGCTGCTTGTTCTTGATTGACCATGCCAATTACAGAATCACCACTGACTCACCCTGCACTCACAAGTAGGGCAAACTTTCAACAAAATCTTAAAACAATATTACATTGAGATTTTTCTCTTAATTCACATTAAACATGTGAAAACACAAATGAAATGCTTATGAGCTCTGCAACTGATAACATCAGACTCTATGTTCTGGCATAAAAAAGCAGCAGAGTGAAGATCTGGGACAGATCTGGACACAAATGCGGTTAAAACTAAAGCACTCTACAAGCAACAAATCCTACCTTCATGATTTAAAAAGTGACATGAGATAATATATCTTTTCAAAAGCCAAATGTTAAATGCAAGCTATAGAGACACGTTTACCTGCATGACGAGAACTAATAATTGATGATGCTGGGAGAGGAGAGAAGCTTAATGCTTAAAGCTTGGATTCTTGAATGTGCCAGATGTTTGCAACATGGCTGTAGTTTTAGGTTACCCTGAGCACCAGACACAGCAAAGCAGGACTCTTGAGATTTACCTCTTCACAAATATGCATCATTGCTCCAAGTGTTAATATATACACTACAGGTAGTGAATATATTAACATGGTAAATATATGCAGTGTACATTGCATATCACTCGGGTAGGTATAATGTGATTTACACTATAAAAGTTTTTGAAAGCTGATACCAGTATTGACTCAGATACTCATGGCTTAAGCCTTGTTATGATTAAGACAAATCCATCTTCCATTAATAATATATTACATCACACATTATTTTGTCTAATAAATCCTCTTTTTCTGAGTAATGCAGTCTTTTAGCCTTCTTGCTCTTAAATGCACAGCAGGCCATGCCTGTCACATGCCAGCCCACAAACTTCCTGGTCAGTTAGATTAGCTATATCACCAGTATTGACAGGAGGATTAGAGACAGGATTACTCTGCAGTCTTTTATGTTTCTCCCTCTGCATGCTTTGATGGCTGGAAAGCACACCCACTAATCAGAGTCCCAAGTTACACAGAGAGGATGGTAAAAAGTATTTTTAGTACTGTAATGTAAAACACATTTACAAATGATTCTACATATTCACAAATCTCAGAAAACATCCACAGATAGAGATACAGATTGACACCCTCCACACAATTTCAAATGAATTTACTGATAATGTTGGCCTCCCCACATGTTCAGGGTTCTAGCCCCACAGTTGAGTTATTTTGATCTGTATGTTTTTATTATTGACAAAGTTGAATAATGAACCGATTTCATTAGGTCTGTTTTTGGCACAGATTGCCTTATTCCTGATTTCCATATTACAATCTTAAGCACTTTTATATAACAATCATAAGAGGACAGTTTAAGTTATATAGAATTAATTAAATGATTATCTCATTATCACACAAAAATTAAGTATACTGCATATATTTATGGACTCTGTTTTCAAGATTACTTGTTAATGATTTTCGCAATGTACTTTGCAATAAACAAATTTTGTCCACACTTATTGATGTCAATGGGGACTTTATACCCCAAAGTCACATTGGTCCTTAATTCAATCTAGCAGCTTGTATTGAGTGGGAAGATGAAACAATCACTTGTAGTTTTATGTACTTTGAGCACTGCTTCCAAACACCACATTTTTGGATGTAATTTCTTTGTTTTCTGTATTTCCAGGCGGTATGTTGCAGAGCGTAAAGGGACTGTTTCATGATCCACCTTTTCATGACCTCTGATGACCTCTCAGTGACTCTGTGGTGTCCTGTAAATCTTTGAGATGATCTCCCTGCAGCCAACCTGGCACACCTCTGAGTGATGAAGGCCTCAAACACATTCCTCATCCTCTTCCTCATTTACAGAACTCTGGTATTTGTCTAGAGAGACATTTTACTGATGATGTCTCAATGTGCTTGATGTTAAAGAAGAGAGTAAATATGTAAAAATCTTTTATGCCCCCTTACAATTTAAGTTTGAGGGAAATTGTTTGGCGGTAGCCAGTCTAGAAACTTATTTGAAAACAAGAAATACATCAACATTTTTGTCCACACTTATGTCAGTGGGGATGGATCAAATATTAGAAATGCCTTTGAAGATAATGTATTCCAATACAACACGGCTTCCATGGCTTGCCTTCCCTATTTCTCTCTACCCCATCTTCAGCCTCTTTTCTCAGATCTGTTTCGCTCTGTCTGCTGTGTCTCCATTTGAGTCACATTTCTTAAGCCAGGTTTTGAGTTGTTACACTACAAAATGATTACAGACTTAAGTAAACACTTCTCTGACAGCATCCATAAAAGCATTATTTGATAAGCTTTATAAAAGAAAGATCTATTGGGAGTTGTATTGATTTGCGTGTGTGTGTGTGTGTGTGTGTGTGTGTGTGTTTGTAGTGTCTGTTGTGTGTGTCAGGGGGAAGTGTGGAGCATCTGATGGAGAAATATATCCGCTACAGGAATGAATGTCTGCAACAGATGAGTACAGAACCCCGACCCAAAGGTAAACCCCTCCATGAATACACACAAACTCTTTATAATATACATTAATGAAGGCAAATTAACCTTTGACACATTTTAAACCTGAACTAAATTAAATGCATACAGACACTGCGCATCCGCTCTCCTCTCCTCAGGTGTGTTCTGTGGACGTATGTTTGACAAGTACGCCTGCTGGTCAGATGGAAAACTAAACTCCACAGTTAAGGTGCCCTGCCCCTGGTACCTGCCCTGGTACAATCAAGGTAGGAGAGCATACTTACACACACACACACACACATTACCCTGACCCTAACACATAATATTCTCACTGTACTATTGTCTGTTATCAAGGGTGTGTGTTTCAGCCACTGCTGTGTGTTTGTGTAGTGCGTAACGGCTTTGTGTTGCGGAAGTGTGGTCCTGATGGTCAGTGGACCACCGATATCTTCAACCGCACCTGGATGGACCCTTCTCAGTGCAAAAATGACAACAGCCACCATGAAGCTCAGGTACAGACACGCAAACACACACTTTGGGCAGAAGAGAGTGAGACCTTAAAAAAGGTATCTGTAAAAAGAAACTTTACATTTCTGTCCACAGTATTAATCCAATCTTTATATATGTTGCTTGTACTTTGTACAGGAGAAGCAGATGATGATCTTAGCCTACTTCAGAGTCATGTACACAGTTGGTTACTGTGTTAGTCTGGCCAGTCTCTGTCTGGCTTTGATTATTCTGGTGTTCTTCAGGTATACCTACACCTCTACAATCTGTTTACTGATTTTGGATTTTCCCATCTCGTTGACTCAGTATTTTAGTCTGTTTTTGATTGTTTGTGTACTCTTTAGTTACTCTAAGGCAATATGTAACTTTCTCCACAAAGAGTGTAATTGTATATAGTCTTTAAATATAGTATCATGCAGTTGCTGTTAAAAGACACAACATATTTTTTTTTTATCAATACAGAGTTTGATGAGACATTTTGTCCAATATAAAAAAAGAAAAATACAATTACAGAAACATTTCAAGTGTTGTATAAAGTGACATTAACTGTAGTGCAAAAACATCACAGCAACAAGCCACAACCACGAAAATGTAAATATGACAATAAACAGACCTCAGATTAACCCTTAAACTCAGCATATGTCTGACAAAGTTTAGCCATGAGAAACATAGTGTGGGCTTTTCACAAGAGATTTATTTTTCTCAATGTCGTTTTCTTTACTTAACTGTCAGTTGCTGAGCAGTCTGACTGGATGTTAAACATTGTTCTGATATGTTTAACACCACTGTGGTATGTGTGATGTCTGCAGGAAGCTGCACTGCACCAGAAACTACATCCACACCAACTTGTTTGCATCATTCATTCTGCGAGCTGTCTCCATCCTGACCAGAGATGCTCTGCTGAGCAGAGACACTCCTGAGTTCATAAATAGCAGGGACTTCTCAGAAATACTCAGTGATCAGGTTGGGACACACACACATAAAAATAAGTGAGAGACAGAGGAAGAAAGAGAGAAAGAAAGAGAGAAAAAAAGAAAGAAAGAAAGAAAGAAAGAAAGGAGAGTAGGAAACGCCAGAGTTCAGTGCCCTTAGAAACTTTCATCTTGACTTGGTATCTGCTTATGATCTTAAAAAACTTGAGACTTGATTTAAAAACATTTGGTTCTGGTTGATGCTAAGCAGAACATGAACACGCAAAAAATGTCTCAAGAACTTATTTTGTCTTCTTGAATACACACACATTAGGCAGTGTCTGGCTGCCGCGTGGCCCAGGTGCTGATGCAGTACTGTGTGGGAGCCAACTACTACTGGCTGTTGGTGGAAGGCCTGTATCTGCACAACCTACTGGTGATGATGGTATTCCCTGAAAACCGTTACTTCTGTGGATATCTACTCATAGGCTGGGGTACACACACACACACACTTAGACAAACAAATAATCATACAGAGCTGAAATGTAAAGGAAGCGTAAAAAAGAGTGCTATACTCTTAATTACTGAACAGGTCACATAATGTGTAAATTGATTAAATGTGCTGTTGTGTTGTGAACTTTTTATGCTTACATTTGTCTGTTTTGGGTCAGGCACACCAGTGTTCTTTGTGGTTCCTTGGATTATTGTACGTTACCTGTTTGAAAACACTAGGTGAGTCATATTTACTTTTTGACAGTGTGCAGCTCTTTTTTTTTTCTTATTCTTCCTGCGCCTGTTCCACAGACTGAGAGTGAATTTGATTAAACACAACATACTGCAACACACATATGTCTATTCAATTGCCACCTCATCCAATATTTCAGGATGCATTGTCTTTTTTTGTGCTTGTGATTGTAGGTGTTGGGAGATCAATGAGAACAAGGTGCACTGGTGGATAATCCGCACTCCCATCCTGCTCGCCATTCTGGTAACATGCATATCAATATAGATGCAGAAAACACAGAACAGAACATTTACAGCCCTGTGAGCTCCAGGTTGGCAGTTGTACATGCAATCTGTACAGTGCACTTCCTTTGACATCATGTGTCCTCACAGTTCCTTTTCAGGAAACGTTGGGGGTTGTTAGGTGTCATAGTGCAGATACCACACGTACATAACCTGCAGCACTCTTTGTTTCATTCAAAATATTCAACCATGTGTACACACACACACACACACGTAAATGTAATGAAGTAGGACATTTTCTGACTTTCAGAAATCAGTCAGTGATTAAAATTCATGGGTGACTCATAGTAGCTTCCAGCCTGGACCGTTCATACAGAGTGATGACCTGGTAGGGAAAGTAGAGTGAACAAAGTCACCATAAAAAGCTGTAGTGTAATGCGCTAAATTAAACTGATCTGAATACATGTTGTGAACTGTCATAATCACCTAATTTGCATGATGAAGCATGATCATTAAGATTGTAAATGTCCCTGTTTTGTTTTTTTTTCTCTTTAGGTGAACTCATTCATCTTTATCCGGATCATCCATATTCTTGTTTCAAAACTGAAAGCTCATCAAATGAGATACACTGACTACAAATTCAGGTAAGACTGAAAACTCAACAGAAGGAAACAAAATAAAAAAATAAAATTCCCCCTATAAACACATCTCTCTAGTGGGCAAGACAGAAATTAGGCTAAGGCTTTCAGGTCAAGTTAATAACATGGTGAACACTGTGGGTGGGACACACCAGCAGTGTGGGAAACCTCCTTACTTGAGCATTAGAAGATCAGAGCAGAATTAGCATTAATGGAGGAGCACAGAGCCCATGTCAGCATTTTGATATCTTGACAGGACCTTGTAATATTTGACTAAAAGTTGCACAGAAGCAAAGTGTATGCTTACACAGCTTTCAGATGACCTGTGTGGGGTTATGAAGTTCAGTATTTTTACTCCAAAGCCGAAAAGTATGAAGAATTTCCCTGTGGATTTTTTTTGTGTCAGTAGGACTGAGGCAGACTCTGAAACAGCACCATCTGTTATTTAAATTATTTCAGAGTTTGTATGGCATTTAGTCACTGTGAAACTCTGGGATATATTACTTCACTCTACTTCACTGTCCCTTCGGGGATGTTCTCCTCAGCCATTTAAAAATATGTAAAATATATGCAATAAACTATAAAGCCAGCAACCATAAAAACACACAAAAATATGTTACAACAATTAAATGAATAATAAAATGTGCAAGGAAATCTAATTAAAGTACAGCATTTTTTTTTAAATATATATATATAACATCAGGCTAATATACCAACCTATTGCAACATGTTCACAGATCAACTCTGAATGAACAGTATTTTTCTTATATTGGAATTCATATTAAAGGCACATGATATCACATTCATTCGTATTTATTTTATTCTATTATCGATGTTAATGCTCAGACTGTTCAACTAAGCTGCCGGAACAAGGGGCCGCAGTGAATCTGAAAAGGTGTAAGTTTAATTTTTAATCATACTTTTTGAAGAATATTTTTCAATTAGATTCACTTTGTGTGTGTGCGTGTGTACCTCAATGTCTTTGACAGTGAGTATAAAACCCAGGAGATCTAAAGGCTTTTAGAAACTCAGACAGGAGGAGAAGCAATAGAGGCCTCTTAGATTTCCTCTGACATAAACTTGACCAGCAACACACAAAAACTGATGGCTATCTTGCACAAATGGACTAATTTATAAAAATAATTTCCATCAAGCAGAGCTACTTTCTTATCTCCTATTATGCTTTTCTGGAGGATGGTAACTTACTTACTTTTCTAGATGGTCAGAGCTTGTGGGCATTTGGGTTTGTGTATGGGGACTTACTGTCTTTTAACTGGGAAACATGTGTTCAACAAACAAAGCAATGCCATCTACCCTGCTGGAGTGTCTTTCAGCAAAACAATGTAGAGATGCCAGATCTAAAGACACACTCCATTACTCTTTCTCTCCAGACTGGCCAAATCCACCCTGACCCTGATCCCGTTGCTGGGGATCCATGAAGTGGTCTTTGCAATGTTGACAGAGGATCACACGGATGGCATCCTCCGCAACATCAACCTCTTTTTCCAGCTCTTCCTCAACTCTTTCCAGGTACAGTCATGACTTTGCACATCCACCCTGGCAAAAAATATCTGCATTCAGATTACTTCTAAATAAAAGCAGCAGCATTATCAAGATATTTGTATGTACAGTTCAACATTAAAAGTAATTTACCCTCTTCACAGGGTTTACTTGTAGCCATCCTCTACTGTTTTGTCAACAAGGAGGTAAGTGGTGTGTCTTTGTGTGTGTGTGTGTGTGTGTGTGTGTGTCTGTGTTTGTGTGTGTGGACAGTGATTCTCCCAATGCTATATGGCATTGGAGGTATTAGGCATTAAAGTTCTGTGTATTATCATGTACTGTATAAGTAACTGTATGGATTGAAACCATGTGCCAGTTAACAGTTTATTTTCTAATATGAAATAATGTTTTTTTGGTCCATAAAACTACCCCTTTAAAAAGTGAAATGTCCATGTGACCTAATTGTAGTGGAGACATTACACATAGCAGCTGTAGTAAATCCAAGCTGAAACCTCCGTATAGTAATATAATGATGATGATGTTGATGAAATAATGATCTCTCTCTATAAATATATATTACATAAGATATATATTTAAATATATATATAATTATATCACAATTTGTCTAACCTCCCTGTTTCACCACAGCAATGTTTTGTGACGTCGTCTGCGCCTTCATATCTGTATGTGTTTCAGTTTAGAGCTATTGCTGTTTTTGTGAAACAGAAAAGACCTCATTCTTGGTAATTTAACTGAGATCTTGCGTAGAAACAGATCAACGAGATAAGGTTGAAGAATTCCTCTTAAGATCTCACTGATAAATTAGTCGTACAAAAGTGACACAGCTACAATAGGAGGGATACTCTTCGTTTACATTTTATGGTTATGAGTAGAGAACAGTGTCTTGCCCAAGGCCTTTTTCCCTTGAAATAGGTCTTCTTTACTTGTTATTATAACACTACTGCTACTCTCACTGTAACACACCCTTTGCTTGCAGGTGCAGGCAGAGATAAAGAAGAAATGGCAGAGGTGGCAGCTGGGGATGACCGACCTTGATGACCTCAGAAACACTGGCAGCAACATACCACAGGTGGGAGCCAATGCTGCAGCCTGTCAAAATGTTGTAAATGCATAAATTATTATTTTTAAAAATGTGTTTTTTTCTTGCTTTGATTCTATGTACAGGCTTTAAAGCTCTAAATCACATGGTGCAAGTAATTTAGGAATATATCTCTCTCACTATTAATGTTAATGGGGTTGTTTAAAATCTGTCATGATTTGATAATGATACCTGCTGTTACACTACACTCGCACACACAATATGTCGCCAACATATTCTCATGAGTCACAAACACATATTATGATTATTTGGCAATTTGTAAATCACAAAAAAGTAACAAGTAAAGGTAATGAGACTTTTGTATATAAATGTAGCAGCAAATTCCACAGATACTAAAGGAGGTGATGAAAAGTTCAGCAACTTTTAAAAGGTATACAAAGTCAAACAAACACATCTGTGTCATTTCTTTAGAGAATGTGAATGTGAATGAGAAATAGTAGAGAGATCTAAATAGTACAATAAATCAGTTGAAAAGGTTACTTGTGTTTCCTGCACATGATCTTCTTGGACAAAAAAACAACATTTTGTATAAATTGTTGTGCAGGTTGGTGCCAGCATGCCACCATCTAGCCAGTGCCACCATCAGTCTCCCTGTCTGCCGCCTGCTCATAGCCAAGAGGACAGCCACTTCTCCGTCTCGCCCAACTCCTCTACCTCGCCTCACCCTCAGCTCCCCTTTCCTCGCCCTTACACCCACCAGGACCAGCTGGGAGCCAGACAGCTGAAGACCTACTGCTATATCTCTGCTCATAGACAGGATGGAGGAGAAGGAGGAAATGAGGAGAAGTGTTGTGAAAGCTACTGCTGAAGCAAAATAAGGAAATATCAGTGATTAGTGCGGTCAAGCCAATTAGACTCACTAACCAAATGACTGCGAGGATTTACGAGGTCACAATTGTAGAATTAATCACAAAACATTTCATTTGAATCTAAAGACACTCTTGGACTGTTGTACGTGTATTTCATTGACCCTGTTGAAATGTCTTAAAGCAACAGCATTTCCTGGTGTAGCTGACACTGATCTCTGACCACTCTTTCAAAGGGAAAAATTAAGACAATTTCCATTTGTGGATCCTTTGAACTCAAGGGCTCATGTCCTTCAGTGTAAATCAACAACTGACAGGACTCATCCTCTCTGATTTTATTCCCACTGAGGAAGCAACATGAGTTTCTACCGCTGAAATTGTTTTGTGTTGAAAGATGGAAATGGGCCAAAACAATGTTTAATTGAACAATTTTACTGTAAAGTGGATATCATCAGTATTAAGCCAAATCTCCAGTCACTCATCTAAGGTACCATTGTTTCATTCATTGTCATATCAACCCTAAAAAATATTCATCTCATTATACTCCCCACAGTACACTATAGCATGTTATAGGATAATTTCCTGTTGTTTGGTTGTTTCTTAGCTCAAGTTGTTCACCTATTAAAATTACATTGTTTCTTAACTATTGTCGTACAAATTAGTGTAATCATGTAAAATTAATACTTCAAAGTTTGTCCTCATCAAACACAAATAAAAACTGCTAAACAGCATTCCAGAGATGACACTTATACTTTCCTGAAAAGTCAAACTTTACTTGAGCTGTTTCCTCTTGTTGGTCCACCTCCTGACTTTTTTCAAACATCCTAAAGATGCTTGTGCTAAACGCCTCTTTTTTCCACTGGTAATGGGGGAGGTGCCATGTAACAGTTCAGGAGGTCTTTTGTTAAATGTTTATCTGTTTTTTTGTGTGTAAAATCTTATTTCAATTTCCTGGAATCCAAAGGAAACATCTGCTGCCATCTAGTGGAAAGATGGTGAGGGCAACCACCATATTAAATGAAGCCAAGGAGCAAGCACCAAGTCATCTGGATGATCTTGTAGAGTAAAATCAGGAACCATCATAAATCTTGAACATTGAAGTAACAACTTGTTCTAGGTGGGGCTGTTTCCTCATACATTTTAAGTTAATCAGACTGTCCAATTAAAAATATACTTCTCCTACTGTACAACTTAAATTGTTTTCTTCCACATTTCAATTAGTTATGGGGCAAAAACTGGAGAAAGCCTATCGTACCAACTCGCTGTCTCCATGAGCTGATCTGACAGTTGTGCTCCAATCAGCTCCTCTCTGTCACGGTTGAGTCGAATCACTATGTTCAACACAGGAGTTCAAACTTCCAAGAACCAAACCTGCAACTGGTTATATATGTCACTAAAGGGTGTGACTACTGTGTTGACAAATTCCCTTTGTTCCTGAAGAACAAACGGTCAAAACGGTCAAAACGGTCAGTCACTGACAAAATCTATATGACAGTACTTCACTGGTTATATAAGCTTTTGTTCATTCAACAGCTGGAATGTACATAGAAATGAAGCACAAACCTAAATTGAAGTTATTTTTTAATTTGATATGAACATTATCACCAACAGAAATATTTCAAAGAAAGTCAAAGAAAAAGTGATTGGAGGAATGAAAGGAGGGTGTAACCTTAAAAGAAAAAAAAAAAAGACATTCAACATTGTCCCATATTACTCATCCATATTTGTGCAAGGCTCACAGCCACATTTCATACACAGATCTAATTTTGTTAAAGAAAACCTTGAAACAAACACACAATTAGGTAGCATTTTGTTTTCAACAGTATTAGCCATGTCACTTTTTGGCACAGTGGGCAGCTGACAGACACACATTCAGTAGGGCCTCACAGCTTTTCATCGGTATTGTTCACTGGAGTATAAAAGTACGCAGCATCATCCTCTTCATAGATTATGGCCACAGTCTCACCAGCATCTGACACTGCTGCACTGGTCTGTATGTAAGCCTGGGAGGGAGGGAGGGGGGGGAAGAGAGAGAGAAGGAAAAAATTAATGCACTGTTTAACATTTTCACAAACAAACGGTATTTACACATTTTATCTTTTTAATAAATCCACTAATTTTGTGTGAATATGTAAAGCTCTTCACCCTCTCAAGCAGCTGTAGTCGCTCTTCATTCAGCAGGTTGCTCTGTCTCAGCTGGCTGACCGTGTTCTCCAGTCCCGTAAGTTTCTCCAGGTGTCGGCGGTGTCGCTGCTGCAGCACTTTCACCTTCTTCTGCAGCTCAGCCACAATCGCCTCCAGCTGCTCCTTACTCAAACTGTTCTTATGGTAACTTCATGTAAAAAAAAAAATGGAAAGAGATTATAAAAGCTGTAATTCAGAAAAGAAAAGCATGACTACACTAAATGGTCTTTAGTAATTGAAATGGTCTAATGCTCATTTTAATTATTGGCTGTTTGCTTCATCTTCTGGCATCTGGCATCTAAGACACTTCAACTCTAAACCCTGTGGCCTTGCTGAAAAAATAAATCTTTGGAAAATACAGACATGTCCTTGAAATTGAGTCAGTGCTCACCAGTGCTCCTCCAGCTGGTGATCCTGCTGTTCTATGCCGTCCTCCTCTGACTGGCTGTCGTCTCCCTCCTCTGTATCCAGTCTTTCCAAAGTGAGGACCAGGGACGTGGGGGAAGGTGAAATGTGTTTGGACACTATAGGCAGAGTAGATGAGATGGGCTTGGAGCTCAGAGCAGATGACAGCACTGTATCCGGGGAGAAGGTAAACTGGGTAGGGGTTTCACTGGGGAAAACGTTTGGTATCGTCTCAAAGTAGGCGATGACTTGAGTTTCATGGCCTTCCTGGACGTCTGAGAACTGCTCTGTGGTGCAAGTCACATCTTCAACAGCGTGAGAGGCCACTGCTTCATCTGTACAGCAAAGTGTGGCGTCATTCATGGCCAGCCCGTGGCCGTGAGATAAAATGGCAGCAGTGATTCCATTCACAAGCTCATCTTGCCCTTCACCAGCAGGGCACTCAGACATCACCACCACCTCTGTGTTCTCGCCACTGTTACTTAGATCATCTACTGTCTGGAATAAAGTTAGAGGGAAATTCGTCTCCATTTTAAATCTTGACGCCAGCGGGTTCCGGTCTGTCTGGAGAGAACAGTCGGATCCTACAACATCACTCGACTCCACCAGGCTGGTTTCTCCCTGCTGCGATGGGTCGACAGTGATCTCATACAGGTGTACCGTATGCATCTCTGCAGCGTCAGCAGCCACCGCGCTGTCATGTGACACCGTTATGCTTTGATTGCTCTTAACTCGAAGCCGTTTTGGCTTCTTCTCAATGTGATCTGTGGCTTTCCGTTTCTAAAAAGAAGCAGGAGTGTGTGTTTAAAAGCAACATGACAATGTTTAAAGTTTAACTAAGAGCAAGTGTAGTGTTGCAAACATAATATTTACTGACTTCAGGAATCTCATCATAATTCGCCAAAGAACGTTATGTCTGTGTCTACTGCAAACACTCAATTCAGTCAATACATGTGCAAAGTAAAATATATATTTAATATATTTGTTGTATTACATTACATAACACAACAATCTTAACACATTGCTGTCTGCTCTGGTGTATGAGCTGCACAAATAACTGACTGGGAAAAAAGGGGAAATTCACATATAAAACAACAGTACTTTAACTTCCATCTTGTATAAAGTTGAAAATACTGTTGCTCAGGACCAACTCCTAAACATGATTTTGTCTTGCAAAGAAACTAACTTGTTAGGACAAATCCATTCAAATGTACACATGTTCAAGAACAAACACAGTTTCATGAAACAAAACTGTTATTCATGTGCAGCAACTTCTTCAAGAATATAATTACTTGTCAATATTGAGCAGCCCTAAAATTTCAGAACAAGACTGTGGTAGATTTCTTTTAGTTTTACCTCTGCCTCCTGGAAGACATTGGGCACAGCATCGCTCTCAAGGTAACGGATCCCCCATCGCACCTTGAAGCACGAAGGTGCAAAATGTTCGTGGCAAATATATTGGTGGCGAGAGGGAGTCCAGTTCTCACGTCCCATGTTCCTCAGCCACTGCTGCAGCCGGACCGGGTCCTGTAGAGGGAACCTAGAATACGATGAAAACTACAGATGTGAGACTACTGGTCACACATTGTCAAATAAACTTTATAAAACTGCCTCTCTAAGCTGGAAATCCGAGCATAAGAGCTGATGTTGCTATCAGGTAACTGACTGACTCTGTGGACTCATCACATTTTAGTTTGTGCCACTACACTCTGTAAAGCAACCCATGTTTCTAATATTTTGTGTGCGGTGGACAGAATTTTAGAAACAGCTTTTGAACAAATGCATCAAAGCAAAAATGGTAGTAGTGACTGCAAAGCTTGGCTACTGCATCACTTTATATTAAGAAAAAGAAAATGAATTAAAACATTAATTATTTTTTAATTTTACTTTTCTCTTCGTAAACAAAGTTTTCCTTATCTGAATCGGGGATCTATTGATTGAGGGTGCAGTACAGACTGAATTAATTTTAAGCCCCTTTGAGGCAAAATTTAATTTGTGATATTAGGCTATATACATAAAAACTGACTTGACTTTAGACAGGTTTCTAATCTTGTCACTATGAGTACTGTTTAATATAGCACGTCCAGTTGTAAGAATTAAGGATAAAATTTCAAGAAACATTCTGACATATTGCCATCCACAAAACCGAACTTTACGTTTCACAAGTTAAAATTTACTTTAAGGTGACGTTGCATGTCAAGAACACTCCGTCACCAGACAAATCACGATTCACTCAGGACTCAGACTGTCTCAAAGGTCAAATGAAGAAGACGCGAACTCAGTAGGTCAACAAAAAAAAAAAAAAAAACCGCGAAAAATGCTATTTAATGAGCAGCTTTTAATTTAAATCAGCAAAAACGCTGTAAAAAAAAAAAATCGACGTGGCGGAGGACTGACTCATCCAGCACAAACAAGTATCTTAAGATGACGCTTCTAACACAGCACAACCTGAGCAGCGACGTTGTCCCAGTAGCTAAAACACACTTTAATATAAGCAGCTTACTTGTAGAAGCTTTTCCTGTCGCTGCCGCTCCCGGAGTCATTCTTACAGTTTGGGGCCGAACAATATTTTGGCATCTCAGGTCGATGGTGTTGTTGCGGCTGTTATCTTCGTGTCCAACTAGGTTCACAACAAGGTGAAACTCGTGCTGTGTTGTCAAGTCGTGGCGCATAGTTGACGAGCAACGATCAGCTGTTGAGACCCGTGACGTCACATAAATGCGACTGCCGCCCGTCTTTCTTATTCAAGCTACAGTAAATTGTGTAATAAATTATTTTTAATATATATTTTTTTTAAATAACAGTCATAGGTAGTAACTGTAAATACCCGCTCACAAACAACACAACGAACAAAACAATGTAGACAATCTTAATTTGCATAAATAAAGATACCGACGTGCTTCTAAAATCACTGGACTGGATTTTTTTTATTCAATAATTTTCTCCAAACATTACACGGAATCTTTAAATGATACAGTATATATATATACATACACACCAGTGTATTTCTTTATCTAAAAAGTTGAGAGCCATTAAACAATGCAGCTGTGCGTTTTCAAGACAGGATTTCATTTTTTGGACGTTCGTGTACTGAAGAAATCCACATATGGGGGTAATAAGTCACCAGTAATTGAACATGTATTGGAGACTATAGTGCCATCAGGGTTTGCTTTACACCAAAGCTAGGTTGGAAAGTAGACTGTGCGGGAGCTGTCGGGTGAGTGGCACAATGACAGTCAAGGATGAAAACATGGGGAGGAGCAGTATCTGCCTCAACAGGAAGCAGTGCAGCAGTGCAAAATCAACGTTACCAGCTACATGACTGAACCAACTAAATACACCACTAATGGCAAACAGCACCTTTAAGAGTGTACCCAGAGACAATCTATTTATTTTTGGGGATCATCCATGTAATCATATTCTGAATTCCTGTAAGATAAAAAACAAAAACAAACGTGACATACTGTAGGTTTGAGAAACACTGATGGACATGCTGCTCTTATATCAGTTAACAATGCCCTAAGCTGTGTACACAGGCCAACAGTACAATGCTAGGTTTCAGAGTCACAAGATGCGCCTTGTAAAAACTGAACAATCATTTTCATTACAGATCTTTGGTACATATCAGCTATTTGATCCCATCTGCCGAGTATATCAAATATTTAAAAACCAAGCAGCTCCAAGGAGACTCATCTGAAATTCTCAGAATTGGTTTCTTGCCCAGTGATGGACACACGAGTGGGTAAACGGACAATGAAAATTTTCCAGTTTTAATCGATAACATGAAAGAATGTACCAAGTTCTTGAGTGAAGTGGTGTAAGTGATCTCTTCCCACCTGAACTACACCACGTTTTCTGCGTACAACTAGCGGAAGTTTGCCGGGGAACAAGATCCCTTAGGCTAAGCATGAACAAGAGCATGTCCGAGCACTGGAGGGAGTGAAGTGGCTGGGATGGTTCAGGTCAGATGGGAGGTCGTCAGTGTCACAGACAGATTAGCTTGGATCTCTACATCATCCCCAACTGCATTAACGTGTTGGCATACGCCATGGGTTTGACATTCGGATGAGGCTGTAAAGCAGAATGAGAGGAAGACAAACATTAGCTTTTTTTTTTTTTTTTTTTTTTTAAAGCTTTTTTCGCTGAGCTTTCAAATTAATCACTAAAAATGCCTCTTCCAGTGTTATCTTTCTCAACAAGTAATCAAACCCATGTGTTTTAGTGGGTATCCATTTTACTTAATGTTTAATCGCCTCTGTAATGTTATGCATCATTACAATATAAGTTTCACTTTAAAATAGCTTTAAACTCCCCGAGTGATTTGAACAGAACCCGTTTACACCTGTCCATGATGACAATTACTGTAAAATTAATACCACAATTTAGAGTACAAGATACTGACCACAGCAGTGAACTGGTGAAATTCTGGCTTGAGGTCTGATCCCCTGAGGTGGATATAAGCTCCTTTGTTTCCCATCTGATCACTGGGGGAAGGCAGAATACAACACACAACAGTTAAAGTGAACAGCCTTAGTAACAGCTGATTCAACACAAGTTAGCCAGCACGATTACATACCAGTAGTTGGGTGCTGAGAACACGGTGATGCACTTCCCTGAGTGAGTGACCTCGTAGCCCTCAGCTTTGACCTCATGACTACGCACAATGAAGTCCAGCTTATTCTGTTCCAGGAAGCGCTCCGTCACATCTGGCCCGAACTGACAACTCACTCCTCGCTTGCTGACTGACCGGCCATTCTGCATAAGACAGCGAAAGACAGAGAAGTGGACAAATTGATTCTTAAACTAAAACAGAAGCAGACTGAATGTAGCTCCACTGGACACACTGACCCAAAAAAAAAAAAAGAAAAACTGATGAGATATTGGGTGGGTGGGAACTGACCTGAGGCTGCGGATCTGACCAGAGAAGATCGCACATGGGACCTGTGAATAAGCGGAGGAAGGTTTTGAAATGCACCCGTTTTCTTTTCTAGGGATGGTTTTTCTAGAGCCAGTTTTATACCGGTGGTACTTTTGGAGTCTGAACCTACCGGAGTCTGGAGGCTGTCTGTTCCTGTCAATCTTTCTGAGGTCGTCCAATGTAACACCATCTTCACTGAACAGTCCACCATGCATAACCTGAGATGGAAAACTGTATTAGGACTGTGTGCACATTACAAAATATCAAACCACTGCATCATCATGGGGTTGGAAAAATCATTAATAACAGAAGCAACAAGATTCTGGTAAATAATGGTTTGTCCCACATAAATATAAACCCCCACACGCAGTCTTTAGTAACCATCACTGCTTTTAAAGACAATTAAATAATTCATGAGGAGTTGCATTGCCTGGCAAAGGTCTCTTGAAAGAACATGCATTTTAAAACACACTGATGGTAGGTAGGTTAATCTGCTTTCCTCTTCCCTAAACTGGATCTCCCCAGGATAAACAGGCATGTGAAGAGAATTCTTGTCAGTCGACACTACACCACTGCTTTGGTATGAAACCAAGACTGGACCTGGTGAACATCAGCTGCATGGCCCTGTGACTCCTTTCAGCTGACGATGCCACTGCTTACCAACACTTTGCTGTTGATACACTGTGCAAGAGGCAGCCACTGGAAGACCTCGCTGAACAGCTGGAACATTTGGGCTGTGTACTTGGCTTTGACCTCCCCTTCAAATCCATACATCTGGTTCATGTTGTCTGTCTCATGGTTACCTGCAGATAAAATCATGGTTCAAAAATGCTGCTTATACAACTTTACACATTAACATAATGTCTGTAACAGTAGAAAACAAATAAAATGCAAACACAAAAAAGGCTACATTAATTAATTTAGGGGTTGTGCTTTGAGGATTATGACACAGATGTAGTAAGTGTGACATATTTAGCAAACATCTCCAGATCCTACACATACATCAACAGACAATGTGAGTGCTCTCACCCCTTAGCAAGTGGAAGTTGTCAGGGTAGAGCAGCTTGAAGCCGAAGAGGGTAAGAATGACCTCAAGAGAGAAAGAGCCACGATCCACAAAGTCACCATTGAACAGCTGAATTCTGTGGTTAAGCATTGTGACGCACAAAGATTTTAAGCTTTTGCCTGTTGTTGTCAATTCTGACAAATGGTACAAACAAGGAGACTCTACTGAGCACAAGTTTAAAAGCGAATAGGTGGCTGGCTGCAAAAAGAAAGGATACATAAGGGTTGGTCTCTGACGGTAGACCATTCAACTTGAAGATGTTGAGGAGATCGTAGTACTGCCCATGGGTGTCACCACAAATAGTTATTTTTTCTGTCTGTGGTAAGGAGAAACATAATGCCTTAAATACAGGTCACACAAAAGAGGACAATTATACAAATAAAACAAAAAATAACATCTTGGGCTTGCAGGATCACAGGAATATGTTTTATTCACTCTCATGGTGTGACTATTAAGGGCTGATCATAGAGTTCAATCAAAAAATATAATTCTGTTGCACTCATTGTACACTAGTCCTCACCTCTTTTAATGTGATTTCAACAAGACTTGGTAGTTTCGATAGAACATCTTTAACTTGCACCAAAATCTGAAAGGAGTACAAAAAGGTTTCATTAACAGGTACAGGTAAGTTTCCTTAAGTCAGTGTATTTCTAATGAACATGTTTACCTGATAAACACACTTTCTGTGCAGTTTCTTCTGGTCTTTGAACCAATCCATCATCTCCTTCATGAACGTCAATGTGACCTTCCCATCTTCAAGTTTGGGGCCTACATAGTCATCCTCAATCACTGCAATACAAGATCATCTTAACTTCAAGAAGTACACTAAAGAATCAAATGGTTCACACAATATTCACGCCAGGGTATTATTACTTCCTGTTTTATATGCAACTGCACAAATTTAATTAAAGCACATTATTGGAACTGATTTTTTTAATAATTATTTTTCCAACAACACAGGAAACTTACTCATGCTCTCAATGTCCAGAGAGTCAACAACAGATTTTTTTATCTCGTCGCTGGCAATGGCTCTCTCAAAGGCCTTCTGTTTTACAATCTTGTTACATTCCTGATACTTCATCCTTGCATCCTTGTCATTTGGTCGAACCTTCACTACCTATCATCAGAACAGGGAAATTATATGAATTCACCACGCACAGGTTAATCATCAACTGACATTAAGGTAGACAGAGGGAAATGAATTCAGTGTAGCTACAGAGAACAGGATGGAAACAGTAATAAAAGTATATTACACTTTTATTTCTTAATTATACAAACAGTATATTCTGGATGGAAAATATTGTGTTCTATCTTGTACTATAAATGGAGTCAGTGTTATGACTATACATTTCAGAGATCTATAAATATGTATAAATCTAGCTCTAACCTCTGAAAACGTCATAAGGATTAACTCGTTTTCGGTTGTCATGGTGCTTAGTCTGTTTGTGCAACGAATTGCATTGACTATGGCAGAGCTTTAGAGGTCTTTGTTGCCACAGCCCTGGTATATTTATACTGCTTATGAGAACAGCACGAACAACAATAGACTCCAAATTAGATGTGGTATGAGTGCCTTCACACTGGATCTAATTGGCATCATGACTGGATTAAAGGATGATCCCTATTCCAGGCTGTTAAGGCAACATTAAGAGCCTAACTCGTGGCGACAGATCAACAGATGGAACGTGAGAGCTC